AGAGTGTCTACAGGGAGAACAGGAGTTATAGTAGATGGAGAATTGTTTATATAGTGGGGGGAAAGATTTGGGACGTGGCTTTGTGTAAGAAATAGCTAAACTGAGATAGGCAAGGAAGGATCTGCAGAATAGGGTCATGCCAGTGGATGTGTAAAGAACAGATTTCCTGCAGAACAGCGATCCTGTTACAAAAGCGAAAGACTGTTCTCGTGTATCTGCATGGGAATGGCTGAAGTGACAATGGAAGAGAAGAGAACTAATATACATTGCAGGAGAACATCAGCTAGCCAGGCAGCAAGAGGTAACCAAGAGCAGCCGAGAGCAGCTATAAAACGTTATAGCAGATCTGGCTGGAGATACTGCATCCCCTCAAAACCAGGGAGGAATTTATACAGGTGCTATTGGGAGATATGGTTACAATATTTACAACACCATTACACAACATGAAGGACAGATCCTGGGATCCTGTCATCACCTAGTATTGGGCCTTCACGGATGAGGCTTTGAGAAATTTGCATTAAAAGAGGCTTCAAGTATGCAGAATATAAGGCAATTTTAAAGCTGTTAAGGTCAGAGCTTTGATTTCTCCTATATCCTCCTGATAAAAACATGTGAATGGAAAGGACTTCCAAAAAATGATGACCCAGAAACTTGAAAGAACTTTTTGTCTGGCTGAATTTTTTTGGTAGGCATACCAATGTGTTTACAGTATTTCTAAATACCATGTGAGTTATACCATCAAAGAAATAATACAAACTGTAAGTGTGTGTCAAACATGGGGAAAAAGGCTGATGGAAATAGCTTCACATTCCTTTTTATTTATTAATGCCACAGACGAACTGGTTTTCTCATGAGAAAGGTGCTCATGAATTTTCATTCAAAATAATAAATTGATGTCCACATTTTAAGAAATATGTTTAGGGTTCAAGGGATTAGACATGCAACTCTGCATATCTGATTCCCTGTTTACCAAGATAAAATATACTTCTTAATGTCATTTCAGTTATTATGTAGCTAATGGTTTTAGCTTATTAACCAACAAACCTATATTAAGCAAGCTGTAGTTACCTGCCCTTTAACTAATACTATAGCATTCTTGTTGACAGTGTTTGGGTACTCTTAATGGACGGATTTTTTTTGCAATAAACAGATGACCTAATTTATTCTTTTTTAGCGATTGGTGGATTTGGATAATTAACCAAAATTAGATCTTTTCTATAGTTCTTGCCTCTGCAACACACATCAGTATTTCAGAAGTTATGCTTTCCCTGATTCTGCCTGTGGCAATATGAAAAAAAGATCTGCTAAGCCCAGGAAAAATAGATTCTGAATAAAAAAGAAATATTCAATATACCACAGAAATACTGACAGGTACATTTTAATCTTAACCTGTCACTGATCCTACAATTGCTGGATTTTCTGAATATCTTTTTAGTGGCTTAGTAGCTTACATCCTCTTCCAAATAGTAATTTAATAGTAATCACTAGATCTATCCATGTAGATGTGAGGCATTCATTTTAAAAACAAAGCTTTTTTTTTTTTTTAAATCAAAGTTATTTTAGAACTAGTAACAATTTTGCAATCAATTTTTTAAAAAAAAAATCACAGATGATGCTTTGACTTTACTATCTTCAGGCTCAGGCAAATAACTTTGATTAAAGATGCTCCCAGATGACTTTATTTTACCCCAGAGAACCAAAACCAGAGAATAGGCACAGTATATAAACTGTGGCGGGAAAAAAATCCCCATTACGTCTTGCATCCCTTTGCATCGTCTTTTTCCAGTGAATCCTGTTTCTCTTTCTATCTGTTGTTTAGAACTTTAGCTAGAAATCAAAATGTTCAGCTGCTTCCTAGCGCTTATCTGGGTTTTATAAAGGTCAGGCAAAAGTGCTTTTGTGTGTCTTTAAAGGATCGATTCATTCTATTACACCAATAAATGGACAAAATTGGACTGTAACTAAGACGTGGTTCTATAGATGCAAAGCAAGTGTTTGGATCCAGCACATGTTCTGCCCATTATAGTAAAATCCCAGTCCACTTCCTGGTGCAGTTCCCAAAGGCACCCCATCCCATTGTGGCAGCAGCAGGTCATGAACGTTAGTTAAACGTGGACTTTGATTCCCATCATCTTCATAACTTGATTTAGATTTTCACTGGTACAAACCAGCCAAATTCAACTGAATCTGTACCAATTTATATCAGATGAAATCTAGTCTCTTACGTGATAAAACATATGTTTTAATAACTGCCTGCCAGTTTTATCACTTGGGATAATATTTGGATAAGACTGAAGGGGAAAAAAGGAGCAGTAGATACTGAAGATACAGAATGGTTATACAGTTTTCTGAGGAAGGGATAAAGATTCAGTATCACTGTAAATACACCATTAAAAAATGGAGTTTAGTTTTATTTTAGTTTGAAAATGATATCTGAGTCAAATACCTCCTGAAACAGGAGAAAAGCCTTGAACTCCAAACGAAACTATTATATTTCAACAATAGTAACTTGCCCTTTTATGCTTGCCTTTCTTTATAATAGCATCATCGCTTACCTTCTCAGGGCAGCAGGCAATTTTAAGTAAGTGCACCTCATAAATTATTGAGTAAAAGTATACTAAGTACAGTGGATTAAACTAGAGAGTTACTTCAGAAGCAGGAATCAACACTTGTGCATTATACAAGACTTCCTTTGTTGTCAACTCATTGAAAATAATACCACAGAAGGCAAATGCTTTCTTCTCTCTTGCTTGCTTTCTTGCAGAAAGACAGTTCTACTTGTCACAACTTTATCTATAAGCTTTCAAAATTACCATGCATATGGCACTCTAGTTAATAACTGAAACTGCGATAGTATTAATAACATTAAAACGTGTTTTGTTTATTGTTTCTCTGTTGAAATACTGCTAATTTTTTAATGGCATTGCTAAAAAAGTTGTTAATAATCGGAGAAATTAGCTTTAGCGGAACATGCACTATTATTTGATCAATATGGGGGTTTTTTGATACTACTGACAAGGCTTTTGTTAGTTCCAATTTTGCAAGTTTGAAGATCCCTTTTCAAGGGGTATCTTTTTGTCAAACGTGCAGTTTTTCCACATGTACCTTCTGTCTTCTATCACAGTGTTTTAGAAGAATCTATGCTTTACTTATTCACTAGGCTTTCAATAGAGAATCACATTAATCCTTTTAAGCTCCTTATTCTAATGATTTATTTTGTTGAAAACCGTAGTGATCCTCCTTTGAATTTTAATGATTGCTGGCTATTCAAGGATTCATTGTTTTGACTTCCTGTCCTTACCTTTGTTTCTTACATGTCTGTAGGGAACACCTGTCTAATACTGTATCTGGCCTTAGTTCTCACTGGCTTACCATATTCACTCAAGCCTATCTTAAGGCGTTAAGTTGAAATGCTAGCTACTCATCCATGAAAATAAATGTAGGATATTTACAGAGATAGGCAGATAGACAGCAGAGGGATGGCTGAATGGATTGAGTCATTTTTCGATGAAAATAATATTTTTATATGAATTATATCAAGATGATTGTTGCAAAGTTTGCTCGATATAAAGCCAGCACTTTAAAAACCAATAAACAACATCTATGATAGGGGATTTCTATTTCAAAATTTTTGAAGCAAATGCAGTATGCCAACAGTTGTCAGGATTTGGCATTAGCCGCTGAATTTAGGTCATGGCACTGGCTTAAATTGGATTTCAGTTTTCATTTTCATCCACTCTGTATAAATACAGAATGTCTCTTTAGAAATATAACTAGGAACATCATGAGTTTTCAAGAATATATTATTCTAATACAAGATTTTAACAACTACACAGTATTTATGCATAATACATTTTGTTCCTTATCTACAGCCTTTTGGACTTTGATTCAGAATACCAGGAGCTCTGGGATTGGCTGATTGACATGGAATCCATCGTGATGGACAGCCATGACCTGATGATGTCAGAGGAGCAGCAGCAGCATCTTTACAAGGTTAGCGCTACCGTTACTGCCTTTACCTAGCTATAGAAGATCTGATTAGCTTGACAAGTCTTTCTCTCACAGGATATCGCTGCGTTCATTGTATGTATCATGGTGTCTATTAGAATTCTCTTCCCTGTCCCCAACCTCATTTCCATCCCCTGTGCGCTGACAGGCTGCACCGACATCATAATTGCAAGAAAGTTCCCTTTATCACATTCTATTTGGTGTAATTCTGTAGAAGGACAAAGATTTGTCTTCAAGATGAATAGAAATAAATGAAACTGCATTAATAAATAGACTGAAACAAAATGAAGGAAAAAAATGAAATGGTAGCATTTAACAAAATGTGTTTTGATTGGAGCTTTCAGCTGGATTTTTATCCACCTTTCAGACCTCTTCTGGGAAGAAAGAAATTTGCCTTGATTTTGGTTTGCTGCTGCCAGGATACAGGACTTTTCAATTTAATTTTTATTAGTTATACATAAAGCAGACATTGTCATGTTAAGTTATCGCACTTGCTTGTGATTTCAGCAAAATGATTTTGAATTTGCATATTGATTATAGGGTCCTCATCTAACATACATATATATATATATGTGTACACACACACACACACACACGGTTTCTCTTATTTGTCATAGCAGCCTTAGCCCAGAAGCTTTTCTTCTTCTTATAGATAGACAGTACTTTTAAGAAGTTCCCCAAAACGTGTGATTTGATCTTAAAATTGGTTCAGGCTTTACTGTGTATCTGAGAAGCTGTAGTCTGTGGTCTGAGGGGCGATGGGGGAAAGAAAGGAGGGGCTTTCGACAGAAATATCAGGCTGCAGTAAATCTTCCTCATTTAGGCAATTTTTATTGGAGTAATTCTGACAGTTGTCATCCTTGAATTGCTTTGAGCATATGGCATATTTCAAAGAGCAGATTGTGAATCATAAAAAATAAAATTAATAACTAACCACAGAATCAGCAACAGTATAATGACAAGAAACAACTACCCTCTAGCTTTTTTTTATTTCTTATCAAATAAATGGTACATTCAAGGTCAAATAGAAGTTGTTTTCTTTCTTCTATGATTGCATGATTTGATAATTTCTTAAATATATTTTATTTTTTCTTGCTTTGGCATCCTAATTTCTGGATTGTCTTCTTGTATTTTATTCTTTCTAATTTTACTCCTTTTATTTAAAAGACACAACGAGAAAGGGTTGTCACATGAGTTAAAATATGTTTATAAATGAAAATATGGTTTGCGTCCAAACTATTTTAGGCTTCAAGTGAGTTTAATTCAGTGACCTCCATTTCTTGCTTTGGCAATCATTTCTTATTTTTGCTAATGTCAATTTCCTAACTTTCTAAATACTTAGTCAGACAGTCCTGGCCCTGGCTAGGCTCGGAAATAAACAATGTCAGAAATGGGTATAAAGTTTCTTGCGAATCTAAAATAACGTGTTCTGGTAGGGCCTGTCCATACAAGACCAGCTTGTACCATGCCTAATCTAACCACTACTTGCAGTCCTACACTAAAAAAAACAATAAACATAAATTTTAAGGAAACAGTCCATCCATCAGTCTGAAAAGGAACAAAGCTTAAGCAGCCAGCCCAAGTATTTTAGGTGCTATTCAGGATACTTCCCTTTCTGATATCCAAATGTAACCATTAAGAATACATTAAGAATGGTAAGGCTGGGATAATAATGCATGGTGAGAAGAATAAAAAAGGGCAATAATTTAAGAATTAGTTTGCAGTACAGTGTGGTAGCAAAATGAGGAATATTGTATATTCAAAATGGGAAGTAATAGTCTCTTAATATTATGAAATTCTGTATTATGATAGGCATGACACTTCCAAAAGCAGAAAGTTTCTTCCGGAGAGAGTAGCTGAGTCTGTAGCCTGTGCAGCACAGACAAACCAGCACTGCTTCCAAAGCACAGGCAGCTTATTTGCTCTGCAGTTTCCTCAGGGCGGTATCTGCTAATTAATAGAGCCCCCCATCTGAAAAGTACCTGTCTGGTCACTGTAAAACCACTTGAAGAAGGGTAGAAACAGACTGCCTGCCCTCCCGCGGTGAATATTCTTTGCATATTCCTTTCTAACGAAAGCAGCAAGCAAATTGTTAAGGATTGAAGGAAAGACTTAACTAGAAATGCGGAGTTTGGTTTAGAGATGACTAAGGAGTGTCCATAACATAAAGCAGGAGGAGTATTTGCAGGTAATGTAAAAAGCTTGAGTGCATAGCATTAAGATTTATTAGCCTTTCAAAAAAAAAACCAAAAAAACCACCTCCTAAAGAAGTGTTGAAAGCCCCATAATTTCAGACATTTAAAAGTAGACAAAAGAAAACATTAGCAAATGTAATTGAGGGAACAATTCTGCACGAGCAAAGGAGAGATCAGATAAATCACTAGGTCTTTCTCATCCTTAATTTCAGAGATTCACCTAACAATGAATCATGCCCTCAAAAACAGTATTAATAGTTTTATAAAACTAGCCTAGCAAACCTCTGTTCTAATCAGTAGTGACACCCTTTTTATTTGGAGGCTCTTATACAGAGTGGTGGATGTTGTAGTGCTCACGGCTAAGGGGCAGGAGCACTGCCTCCGCTTCACGGGGAACACAGCCCTTCTGGTCTGTAGGGAGAGAAATCTGTGAAGAGAAATTCAGGCAGCTGTTATTATCAGAATTCCTCAATGATGTGGGGTGTTATGAAAACACAGGTCTTGCTTTAGTTATTCTTTATCAGTTACAGCTTCAAATGTGAACCTGCTAATTGTACTCTCTGCATTTTGGTGGATTCTCCTAAACCCACAGATCCCTCTTAGTTATTGAGCTGACAAGTAATTGCACCTCTGAGCCAGCTCAGCAAGCTGCCTCTGCCAGGGAACCTGCTGTGGTATCACTATTACCAACAGTAATCATTGCCCCTAAGGAGTCTACAAATGGGAAGGAGCAATGATAAAACAGGTAAATCGGAAGGGAAAAGCATACATTAAAGCAGCACAACGTAATATATAAATGCTGAAATTGCATATGGGAAAATAAAATGTATTTTCATGGTTAGACTATTTTCCCAGTACTCTATTTTCAGATTTAATATAGATTTAAGTCAACTCTCAGCTTAATTTTGTTTTGTAATATTCCAGGAGCTTCATAGTTTTTTTATTAGGATCCTTATTATCTCTCGTTAACTAGGTTTTATTTTGCCCTTAATATAATAGGAGTAGCACAGCCATATTTTTTTTAACTCTGCATATGTATGTATGACTATCTCTAGATTTCTTAGATTTTAGTGCAAAGATTTACAAAAAGAGAAAACTGTTCTTCCTCAGTATGCTCCCCCATAGCCCTAAATGATTTCAGCTTTACAGTCTTAAACTAGCTAATGATTTTAAAAATCAACTAGTGATTGATAAAATGGCAGTCACGGAATGAATTGCTGACAGTTTATTCGTCCTCTAATGCTTTACCTATTAACTAAGAAAAAATTAAAAGGAGCATTTCCATGTTTTCGGACTCTCGGTTCTTTGTACTGTTCTAATAGCTCAGTTTAATGCCAAATGTATCATGTTTATTTCATTTTAATCTACTGCATGTGAGCCTGATCTCATAAGCTCTGAGTACACAGAACTTGCATTGACTTCAGCTGTATTCATAGGCTGTTACTTGAGGATCAAACCCAAAGAATTTAAACTCTGCTAATTAGCCCTTTAGTGGGAACTTGAGTAATTCTGTACCTTGAATGTTCAAAAATGAAGCAAATCAGTATTTACAGGAACAGTGGAGATTAGAAATGAGTATACTAGGCAGAAAAGTTAATGATAATTCTTTCCATTTTCCTCCGAAGATTAATTGCAAAACTTAATTGTGTTAGATTAAAACCCCATTTAAATAAGTACAGTATGATTGTTAAAATTGTTAGTATGTTCAGAATAAAATTAACTAAACATTTTTAAATATCAAATAAAACGAACATTTTTCTGTCTGATTACAAGTAATGTATGGTGGTTTTAATTCAAACTGCATAAGCCGTAAGTCTTGCAGTACTAAGTCTTCAGCAACGATGGTCATGATAGATGGAAAAAGACACTTATGTAGAAGTGCAAAGATTTTGGAAACATTTAGTTGGCACGGCTTTTGAACAGGTTAACTGCAAAACTATTTCATCAAAGGGAAGCGGTTCACCGTATTAAGTAACATGAAAATGCACATCAAAGGCTAAGGATACCTTTCCAAAAAAAGTTGAGGGGAAAAAATTCTCGCAGCAGTTTGTGTTTGCCTACTGGAAGCTATCCCTCCTCGGAAGGTGCAGTTCGTTTTCTCCTCTGGGTGTGCTGCTGCTCCATTGTGCCTTTCTCTCTGGCTCAGTGTGCTGTGGCCCTGAGTGGATCAAACAAACCGTGGTGAAAGTTTCCCTCATTTGCATCACTTCTAGACAGCCCTGTCGTACTCTTTGCTGACAGGAAATCACTGTCTTTGTCACCTTTTTTCAGTGATCTCCTTTTGGCAGAGATTGGCCATGTGACCAGGATTAATCACAACAACAGTTCTGGCTCGGAACTCAATGACATGTTTTCCTCAGCACTTCAATAATGGTGTAGAGGAGTCAGTAGGAAATGACTACATTAATTTCAGAGTGAAAAGATAATTAACACTTAAGGACTAGTGCTATAACCTATGGAGCTATTATTCAAATTAAAACTAATTTATTGCAAACTTGCGAAACCCCACCACCACCACCCTGTCCTTTAATGCAACTGTTAAAATAATCTTACAAGAGTTCCCGAGTTTAAAGAGAAGCACAAACTATATTTAACGCGGTAATATAAATACAGAAAAACTTAAACATTTGAAACTGGAGGCTGAAGTATGTAGAGTGCTTACTTAGATGATATGAATAGGATACTGGCAAACAAAAGCAGCAGTGTGCTCCTAGAATGCTGTGCTTCAAGGAGTTTCCTTGGCAACAGAAATGCAGTTCCAAAAGTAGACAGAACTTTCCTCAGAAAACA